TCGTAAAACTGATGAGGAACTAAATATGTTATTCCACCACAACCAAACGTTAGCACTTATCAGAGAAGTGATAAGCAAAAACTTGAGGACGAAAAAACAGGGAATTTCGTTGGTGGACAACAAAAATCAGTCAAAATAAGTGCACCAAAGGAAAGGACCATATACTACTTACACGAACATGCACGCATAAGAAAATATAATTGCTGAAAAGATCGCGCAATGAACATTCATGCATCACACCATCAGCAACAGCACAGATCATGATCTCATTATCACGAGAACAATGATGAAAATAAACATCTGTCATAGTCGAGGCGCTACAGAAAAATGGACAAAATTTAATGCAAAACAATAGATTACATGTTATACCTGATTGAGTAATTGATTTTGAGTGGTCATATTGGATAATTCAGTTTGTAGGCGATTGAGATTATTCGCTGCAGTACAAGCTTGCTCTTTCAATTGCATTCGTTCACGAGCCAATTCATCGATTTGCATTTGCAACAATGCACTCTTACTTCTCGATTCTTCTAATTCTTTCGATGAAGTTTCTTTCAACGTTCCTATTGTCTTCAATTGGAACTGATTACCATATCGATAGAATCTGAGGCATTATACCATCGAAAGACGAAACGAAATGCTGTGCAGAGGCTTGCATTCGATTCACTGATTTTGTCAAGAAACGATGAATGAATGCTATTTCGAAGTGGCGCAGTCATATAAAAATGCTCAATGAAATCAACTGGTACACTAGCGAATAAACCGCACAGCACGGCATGCCTTACAACTCATCAGGTTATTTCAATTCTAAGAAGTACATTACACTAAAGCCAAAACACGAGAGAAGCTATCAGAACAACCTGATTCAATGATGCATTTTGTGCAGTCATATTTGACAATTTAGCTTGTAAATCATCAACACTGTTAGCTGTGGTGCATGCTCGTTCGTTCAGCTGCTGTCGTTCAAGATCCATCTCAGCGATTTGCATTTGCAGCATCTTATTCTTCGCATTTATTTCACCGATCTCCTTCGACGATGCCTCTTTCAAATCAGTTATCGTCTTCAATCAAAACAAACTAAACCACCAGGACCGAAGAAAAAACGGACAAATTGACTGATAAATTGATTGCTCGAAATAGAAGCATTGAGAAAGTAAGAAGGGAATACTCAATAAATCAGCTNAAAGCAAATTCAACGCAATAACCTGATTGAGTAAAGCATTTTGCGTGGTCATTTCGCTCAATTTGGCGTGTAAATCATCAACACTGTTAGCTGTGGCGCATGCTTGTTCTTTCAGTTGCTCTTGTGCAAGATCCATTTCGGTGACTTGCCTTTGTAAGCTTTGCTTCTCCGCGTTCAAATTATTAATTTCATTTGTCGCCGCTTCTTTCATATCATCAATTGTCTTCAATTGAAATTTATCACTGAACTTCTACTAGACTTTTGAGTTACAAAAGCAACTGAACAACTAAAAATCATGGTGAAGTTTACTGACACCAATGAATGATCAGTCCACAGTGAACTCAATTTCAAATTTACGTGCTTAAGCACAAAACAAAATCATTAAGGAATGCATGCGATGATCAGTACTGCATCTATCAGATACCACTATCAACAGCACACGCACACACAACAAAGCGAACATGCAACAATGAAATCACCCGACCCTCGATAAACTCAACTTCAGAACTGACATCGCAACCAAACACATGCTATCATCAGAAAAGGGCAGCAGCGTGCTAAGGCTACGTTTCACTGAGTAATGATACTGCTCAATTAAACAATATCGAACCACTCCAACCTTAGTCAGATTCTCGATATCAATTTGACACTTGGCCAGTTGCCCTTGTAGATCGTCAACATTACCCTCGGCGCTAAGCATCTTCTTCTCCACGACCAACTTATCCTTTTCAATATCAACCATCTTCCGTTCCAAATTTCGAACCGCTTCCTCTTTATTCATACGTTCCGATTCACTTGTTGCGAGATCCTTTTGTGCATTCGATAATTTTGTTAGCGCCTATAACCACGAAATATNAGAATGAGAGCAATTCATGAAAATAAGAAGGAACATTCGGCATCCACCTTCAATCCATTGTCACGTACTTGAAAATAAAACCAAGTTTTGATTAATCAATGCAAAGAAAGATTTTTGGAAAAAGGCGAACCTCGATATGTTCTTGTCGTAAATTTGCGTATGCACTTTTCATTTTCTGGAAGTTCTGCTCACTACTTAGCGCTTTACGTTCGATGTCTTGAAGACGTGCTTCATCGACCGCGTGTCGTTCCGACTCAACATTTGCAGCACGCACACGTTCCAGTTCTTCCTGCAACGAAATATACCCCAAAATATTCCTTTAATCTCATCTGAACACTTCGCCTTTTTACGTAGCAGAAAAATAATGAATCAATCGTGAATAAAACAACGAAAGTACGACATCCACACTGCTAATTAATAGCATAAATAATTAACTGAACAGAGAAATAATTGGAAGAGACGCACTTTCATTTCATCAACCGATTGTTTATAATGATCATTTTCATGTTTCATTTGCAAGAGACGATTCTCGTACTGTTCGATTCGCGAACGAGCCTGGAATTGATTACTGCTCGCGTTCCGTAATTATTTCGACGAGGGACAATAGATTCATGTTTCAATATCGCATCAACNNNGAAAAAATTTAACTTGCAACAGTGTAATTAAGCTGAATGTGAAAAAATCAATAGTTTTAAGATTCTCACAATAAAATTTCCACTTTTTTCACTTCCCTTCCAGAACACTTTTTATTTCGGTGACTCATGATGACCTGAATCACATGGTGTTCAATCCAACCTTTTAATCGTTTTGCAACCGAAAGCAATTTCTCAATCATTCATGAGAGAGCAAATGATCCAAAAATTACATCTCAACTAATATATGCACGTATCAAATGGAACTTTGAATCTAGCGTCTTCACCAACCTCATTCATAAGTCTTTCATTGTTGAATCTAGCGTCTTCTACATCACGTCTCAATGTATCAATCAACAAATCTCTGAAATAAAAATTAATCAAATTATAATGCATAACGTTACAAGTCAACAAATTTCTCACTAATCAGCCCAAACTCACACTTCCGAAATGGTAAAAGAGAAGTACTTCCGATTCAGAATGACACTGAATATGAACAAAACCTTGGGTCAGTGGATGGTGCCTGTTGTTCGACTTGCGCCTCTTGTGGTTCAGATATATCCACGAGACTTTCATCGATGGAACGTCCATCTGGAGGTGTGTCACTCTCACTAACGTTATCATTGTGCAAATATGCGTGAGGAGACTGGTATGTGTCCAAGTCAGATGCCTACAAATCACNTCATTTTACCTCATCATTCATAACAAAACAGCGATGACCAAAATCGTATAGATGTTTTGACAGACGTGCGATGAACGACTGGTTGGACAAACCTGCAGGAAGTTCGGCGCGAGAGATGGCAACTTCGGCACTGAGACGAGGTACTTGAAGTACTGTAAGTTCGTTGCCTCTTCATAGAAAGCTTTCATTTTGCGAAATATTCCACCGAAACGTTCACGATGACCTGATAAAGCATCCGGTGGAATTTCTGAAAAGACTTCACTTTAAAAGCGGTTGCACTGCGAACAGAGATAAAGAGGGTTGTAACTATGACTTATTGCAAAAGAAAAAGATTGTTAAGATTTTATGGACCAGAAGATACCGCAATATAGGATCTCCTCACAATCGGCTACAAACGCCGTTCTCTCCGTTCAATTTTCAACAGTCGTAATATTTATCATTAAGCATCAACAAACACCAAAAAAACACTTCAATTAGAATAACTTCTCCACCATTAGAAAATTGTTGAAACAGTATTATCGACGAGGCATTATGTGGTACCAAAATGAGAATCACTCATTATCATCATTATAAATTTAGGAAATGAAACAAATAAGAGTGTAAATGACTTACGTTCATGAAGTTTGAAAATAATTTTGACCAAGTAATCATAAAATTTGCTCGTGTCAAGTATGACCAAAATGAGTGGTGCGAGAAGACACTGCCCTTGTGGTACCATTGAACTCCATCGTACTACGTCCATCGCATGGAAAACTGTAAACGAACAAACAGTCACTGTAATCGAACAATTTTTGTCTTGAAGATATTCATTTTTATCAAAATGTTGGTTCGGACCAAAAACTTCGAACAGTACTCATTCACACCATACCACAAAATTTCCGCGAGACCCTCACTTCGTACACCTAAATTTTAAAGCGATCACAGTTCCGTGGGCAAGCAAACAGTTCAAAAAACTTCTGACAAAAATAAAACGCACACCTTATACTATCAATTATCTTCCCCAAAAAGTGATGATGCACTAGCACCAATT